ACCAGGAATGGAGTGGTTTTCCAAGAATGGGTATCCCTTGAGACTCTGTGCTCCTCAGGGCTGGCACACAGGGACGTCGGTTGAAAACTGATGGGGTGCACTTTGGGGTCGGGGGCCCCACACTGAGCCTTCTCCACCCCAGAGCACAGCACCTCCTCCACCCCTGCCCTGCTGGGTGACCCTGGGTAAGTGCAGTTCCTGTTGAGACCTCAGGTGCCCCTCTGTGTGGTGAGAGGTTGGGCAGGACCACCTCTGAGAAAGGCACCCACTTGGTGATGGGGCTCACCAAGCCCTGGGCCCTGACGTGGAGAGGACGTATTTTGCTAATCTGCACATTTACAGATTAGGGGCTCTCACAGCTGTCATGTGATGTTGTTTGTCTCTTAATACGCCCTGGACCCCAAAGGAGCTCCACAGAAGGACATCCCCTGGGGCCACACACCCCACCCCCATCCCTGGGAGAGCAGCGTGGGATGAGGCTTAGCTCAAGTTCTGAGCTGCAAGGTCAGGGCCAGACTCTGGCTAGGACCAGCCCCAGCCTTGCCTGCCCCACCCTCCACCTTGCAGTTCCCCCTTCCCTGCTGTCTTCCTGAGCCATCAGCTCAGTGACTGTTGTGCAAGTCTGGATTTGGGGCCAAACCTGAGCTCAGAGCTGTCCCAGAACCCATGGTCCCTGTGGGTGCATGTGGGGTGGGGTGGGAGGGTGGGGAGGGGTGGGTGGAACCCAGGTGACACCGTAGACAGGGCCTTGGGGACCTGGGTTCCCTACCAGGGGGAGTAGGGCCTGGGTGGCTCCCAGCAGGCCAGGAGATCTGGGCTTTCTAAACCTCAGCGGCAGGGGCAGGCCCCTGTCCCTCCTCTCCTTTGTCGCTCCTCCATCACGAAGTTGCCCCGGCCATGCCCTTTGGACCCACACTGCTCCTTGGCTGCCGCTCTGCAGAGCAACCTTTGGCTCCTCCTGCTCTCAGTGCTCCCCCACCCCTCAAAGAAGCAGTCTGGGTCTGGGATTCCTGAGGCAGGATGATGATTCTAGTCCCTGGAAACAGTGCCCTCCCCAGGGCCTGCCTGACCTTCCATAGGCCGTGAACTGCGTGGGGGATTCAGGTCAGGACTTCAGCGATTTCTTCAGTTTCTTCATTCCCCTCCTCCCAGCACCCTCTCATCCAGTCTGTCATCCCCCGGCCCCTGCTCCTAGCAGGGCCCATACCATCTGATCTCAGCACCACACTCTCTCAGTTCACCCTTCCGGTCCATTCTCCTCTGAGAGCCATGACCCTGCTTCTAGGGCACCCTCCCCTGCTGAGCCCCAGAGATGCCGCTCCCATAGCCCGCACCCAGCTTGGCCTTCAGTGCCCTCCAACAAGGGGCTCCCCGCTCTCTCACATTCCCTCTTACTCATGCCATTCCCTCCTGGGCTACCACACAAGGTACCTCGCTTCTGTAAACCCCTCTTTCCCACCCCCTCCGAGACCCCAAGCATGTCTTGGCTCTCTCTTTGTGCACTGTGCTAATGTCATTGACCTGCCTTCTCCACCTGCCCCCTGAGGGCGGGGCTTGCACTGACTGGCTGGGTGCTGGGCCCAGAGGAGGTGCCCACAGGAAGAGGGATTCCACAACTGGAAGGGAAGGTGCTAAGGAGAGACCCAGGGATCAACCGGAACTGAGAGTGGATTGTGACCCTTACGGATCCCTGGGGGAGCCGGTGGGCCAGGGGTGAGCAGCAGACCTCGGGGAGTTGAGGTCCTCAAGGGAGCTGACTTGTCACCCTTCACAGGGTCTGAGCAGACGGGCCAATGTCTAAGTTCTCAGAGCTGAGGGACACCAGAGGCCTCTAGCAATGGGTCCATTGAAAAGCCGAGGCAAGGCCTGGAAGAACTGGAACTGCTCCTGCCCCAGGGACTCAGGCAAGGGACTTACAATGTCTCTGAGTGCCCAGTGCTGACCCCTCTCAGTGCAGAACACCAGACCCAGGCTGGCCAGCCCCACTCTGCCAACCAGAGCCCATTCTGACCCAGTGGTGCTGCCCCAGACCGCACATGGAGGCTGAGCTCTGACATAGGCCAGCCTTAGCCGTTCCTTCTGTGTCCTGCCCACCCCGAGTGGCCCCAGCCCCTGCCTCAGTTTCCCTACTTTCTCATGGAGATTAGGGCCCGTTTCCTTTGCAGGGACTGAATTCCTCCCCTCCCACCTACGCTGTGCCCCAATTGTGTCCTAGCTGATGACCTGACAGGCCCCTCGGCCCTCACAGCTGCTGCCTCTGGAGTCTTGCCCATAGGCTGCACCCCCATGTGGGCCCCAGGTGTACCAGCCCTGCCACCCCGGCAGCTTTCTCCGTTTTGCAGCCCTCGCCCCTCCTGAGGCCCGGTAGGGGGCACTCCCCCAAAATGTCTGAGCTCACCTTGTCTCCCCTGTCCCCTCCGGGACTTGCCGTGAGGATGTAGCCAAGTTCCTTCATTTTGAGAGTCACTGTTCCCAGTTGTTAAGCTGTTGTCAGACTTCTTCACAGGGTTGATGTGAGCATTAACTTGTCAAAAGCTTGGCACTCGGAGGGCACAGGCAGAAGGCTCTGACAGGTCAGGGTGGCCCAGCTGGCAGGTGCAGGACAAGGTGTGGCTCTCGGAACTGGCAAGCAGAGCAACTGTCTGGGTGCCGGCCACAGGAGTGGAGAGGCGTCCAGGAGATTCCTAACTTGTGTGTCTGTTTCTGTGTGTACGACTCTATGTGTGTCCGTGTGTCTTTGTGTATGTGTGGTAGGGAAGAAGAGTGGCCAACTTAGGGGTTTGGAGCTCAGGAAGTAGCTGTGAACAGTTGCGGGCACTGGTGCGAGGCTGGGTGGGGAGTCTGGGCACTGCCCCGGCAGACAGGCCCAGACCCATGTGGCTAGCTGCACCAGCACAGTTGCTGCCCCGTGGGTTTCTGTTGGCTGCCCTCCAGGTGACAGCTCAGACCGGCTCTGGTGAATGCAAGGCTGTTACCACACGTGGGCACCATGGCAGGGTGCACCAGGGAGTAGACTGACAGAAGCCGGGCAGCAGTGAGTGGGTGACGGTGCCGCTCCCCTCAGTGTCCTGGGAAAGTAGGGCTCTGGGCTTAGGGAACAATGTGGGAGTGTCTCGCCAGAGCCCCAGGTTCTGAGACCTTTGTGGACAGAGGCAGTGTTGGGTCTGTTGATTCTTGGGGAGCTTGAGAACTGGGCTTCAAAAACCCCAGCTTGCTTTCTGTCTCCCTCAAGCCCCTCAGAACCCCTCTGATGGGGCCATGTTATGAGGTGGTCAGTAAGGCACGGCAGGTAAGAGCCGGACTGAGGTAGGTTCCTGCCCCAACCGGACAAGGTGGGACCTCCTGGGCCAAGCACGCTCCCCGTCAGGCTCTTGTGCCCCTCCTCAGCCAGCACCCGAGACCATACTCCCCCTCACACCCTGCAGGCCCCATCCTCATGCCCGGATGTAGGACATCGGGATTGGGTGCTTCGACTAGGCCACCACCCCTTCAGAAAATCACCTGAGTTGCTACACCTCCTGCATGGTTCTGCCCTTCTCTGAGAAGATAAGGACATCAGTCAGGAAGGACTTTGGGCTCCCAGAATGCTCTCCTCCCTCAGCCCTGCTCTGCCCCCTCACCAGACCCAGGCTAGGCCCCTGCTCTGCGCCCTCACCAGACCCAGGCTAGGCCCCTGCTCTGCGCCCTCACCAGACCCAGGCTAGGCCCCTGCTCTGCGCCCTCACCAGACCCAGGCTAGGCCCCTGCTCTGCCCCCTCACCAGACCCAGGCTAGGCCCCTCCTTGCCAGAATTTGCCAGCTCAGCTGAGTCAGCCATCCCACTGGTCATTTGAGATTTTTTTTCCAAATTTTTATTGTGATTTGGGTGAAAGTTTACAAATTCACTTTCCATACAGCAGTTCATACTTTTTGTTTCATGACATTGACTGCAATTCCCTAGTGTAACAGCTCTCTTCTCACTTCCTCCCCGTACTTTTTTAATAATTGTAAAACCATGTCCTTCTTTCCTATGCATTCCTGCCCCCCACCCCATCCCAGCTCTCTCCCTGTGCAAACACTGTCCTGTTCTCCCATAATTGGTCTAAGTGTTATCTATCTGACATAAATATCCACCCCGTATGCCTGTCCATTGTTTGCCTGGAAGCCACAGGACTGAGTTCATTCAATTCCAGACCTGAAGGGAACTAGGGGCCATAGTCTAAGGGGATCTCACCAGTCTCCATCAGACCAGTAAACCTCATCTTTTTTCATGATTTTGAGTTTCTTGTACATTGTTCTTTCATTCCATCGCCTGCACTGATCCCTGAATAGTTGACAGCGGTAGCCAGGCACCATCTAGTTCTATCTTGTGGTCATAGAAGCTGAGGGTAGCATGGTTTACCAGTCCCTTGGACTAATTATTTCCATGTGTCTTTGGTTTTATTAATTCTTCTCTGATCTAGACGAGGAGAGACCTATCATTGTATCTAGATGGCTGCTTGCAAGCTTTTAAGATCCCAATCGCTACTCACCAAAGTGGGATGTAGAACAATGTTTTTCTGTAGTAGGTTATGTCAGTTAAGCTTGAGGTCCCCTGGGACCATGGTCCCTGAGCCCACAGGGTCCAACTACTCACTGCCTCAGGGTGCCTGGCTGTTGGCCTTTGAGATTTTAATTGCCTGGTTACAGCCATTACTTCTCTCTCAATGGTCAGGGGCTTAAGGACAGACAGGGCTGTGTCCCATTAATGTGCACTGAAGCCCCAGGGGCTTGGTTCCTAGGCAACTCTGATCAATGTGTGAATGTGTGTGTGAGTGACTGGGGGTGGGAGGGGCGGCTGTGTGGGAGTGGGCAGGGCCTCCACAAACACCAGTCTTAGGCCGCACCAGGCAGTTTCTTTAAACTTTATTTGAGAAAAACGGAAGGTAAAAGTATCAAAACAGCCTACAGATTGGAGGGTGGGGATGACCAGTGATGGCTACAGCGGGATGGGGTTGTGTGGGCAGCAGGGCTCGGATATTTTACTTGGCTCCAGCCTGCTCCGACTTCCCAGCTTCTGGGCCCCCGATCTGGGCACGCGCCTCAAAGGTGACAGGGATGGTGATCTCGGCAGACTGGGTGACTGGCTTGGGCAAAGGGGCTTCCACAGTGAGTGTGCCCTCAGGGGACAGGGAGGAGGAGACCAGGGTGGGGTCCACACCGGGGGGCAGCCTGGGGTGCAGAGAAAAGAGAGCAACAGTTACACTTGGCGCCCTCCTCCCATCCCCTTCCCTCCCCCGGAGCCCCCTTCACCCCATCTCCCCCACAATCTGGCTCCAGCACTCACGTGTATTTCCGGGTGAAACACCGGGAAATGAAGCCATGCTCATCCTGTCTCTCTTCGTGTTTGCCTGTGGAGAACGGGCCGTTAGAGGCTGCAAGGCCATGGTCCCCCTCTGCCCACGCCCACACTGCACAGAGGCCCCACTACCTGCCCTGGAGTGGCTGGGGCGCGAGGCAGACGCTGATTGACTGAGGGGCTTGGGGGACCCGCCTCTCCCAGGCCCTTAGAGACTCTAGGAGCATGCCTTCCGGTTTCAGGCCCGTGGGGGCGCTGCGCAGGTTCCGGCCCGGGAAGGCAAGGGCGACGTGCACGCCCCCAACAGGGACCCCCGCCAGCGGCGGAGGCGGCGCCGGGATCTAGCCCAGTACGCACCTAGCGCACAGCGGGTGGGGCACAGAAAGGCCTGCGTATTTGGGAAGTTCCCAATGCAAGGGACTTCTCTTCCCTAAACGGGGCGTTTTGGGAGCGGAAGGGGGCCCTGAGAAACTCCCCGTTATATGAAGGCGCAGCAGACCGCGGCGGGGGCCAAAGCAGGCGGCCCGGCTCCTGGTCCCTGGCTCCCTTCCCCCCCTTCGAACCCCACAGGCCATGCGCCCACCACCCCTCACCCCCACCCACCCCGGGGTGGCGAAACATGGCCGGCCAGCTCTCGCCCCTCTGACTTCGTTCCCCTGCAGGGTAGCGGGGCCTCACCGGTGATCTCCACCACGCCGTCCTTGGTCTTGACCGTCAGCTCCTCGGGGGCGAAGTGGTTGACGTCCAGGGACACTCGCCAGCGGTCGCCCACCTGCCGGATCTCCGAGACGCCGCTGCTGAGTTGCCGGCTAAGAGCGCGGTTGTAGGCGGGCGCGGCGCCCTCGACCGCGGGTGCGGGCAGCGGCCGCACGTATCCCGGCCAGCCGCTGTGGCCGAACCACTGCGACCACTCCTCGGGCAGCCGCGGCAGCCCGAAGGCCTGGTCGAAGAGGCGGCTGTGCATCGGGTACCAGTCGCGGAAGGGGTCCCAGCTGGGACTGCGTAGCAGCGAGAAGGGCACGCGGCGCTCGGTCATGCTGGCTCCCACCTGCCGGTGGCGTTGAGCTCTAGCTGGAGGACTATGGAGTGGCGGGCCGAGCTGGCGCTTTTATGGGTCTCCAACCGGGTATTTTTAGCAGGCGGTGTCTCAGGTCTCTATTAATGGCAATGACTGGCTGGGGGCTGCCCCGCCTCCGTGCATTCCTCCCACGGGGGCGGGAGCGAGGCGAGGCGAGGATTGCCCAGCCCACTTCGGGAACCTTCTCTCGTTAAAGAAAACAAATGGCTGGCGTTGGGCCCGCTGCCTGCCGCACCCTCACACTCATAGACCTGGGGGTACAGCGCCGGCTGGCAGCCTGGGCACAGTGCCACCCTTTTGTTAAGCAGGATAAGCTGACAGAGGCTGGGTCACTTGTCCAGGCCACACAACTGGGAAGTGCAGAGCTAGGGTTTGAACCACAGGGGGTCTGTGATGAAACCAAAATCAAACTCACTGCTATCTAGTTGGTTCCAGACTCATAGTGACCTTCATTGGGTTTCCCAGGTGGTAAATCTTGAGGGAAGTAGATTTCCCTATGTTCCTTCCACCGAGGGGCTGGTGGGTTTGAACTGCCAACCTTCTGGTTAGCAGTGAAATCAGTGCCTCAGGTACAGCGCAACCAGAGCTCAGGGGTCTGTGATACAATGTCTTAAGCCCTCTGGTGTGGTAGTTAGGAACCAGACTCTGGTTCTGCCTGAACTGACATCCTGTTTCTGCCCCTAAGTGTACCAACTCCTGCAAATCAGACTCTTAGTGCCTGTTTTCCCATCTGGAAAATGGAGCTGATGTAATAATAATGCTTACGTGATTGGACTGATGCAAAGATTCAGAGACTCAGTGCATGCAAAGACTGTAGCCCAGGGTCTGGTACGTAGTAATTGCTAATGTCATTATTACCTACCTGGAAAAGAGAGAAGAGGAAAGAGAGTGTGGGTCCCTCCATACCCCAACCCTGTTGCAGAGGAGGTGGCGTGTGTGGGTGTGACAGCCTGCCCTGCCCCTGGTAATGGTGTTGGCCCACCTCAGAAACCCCATGTCTGCTCCTGAGAGGGGGTTAGAGGGGAAACTTATTGGCCTGTTTCCTGTTTTAGCTATTTCTCAAGGAGCACTGGACAGGGAATCCGCAGGGCAGCAGTCTTGAGTCTAGGCTTTGTCCTTGACTTAACTGGGTGATTCGGGGCAAGGCTCCACTCCTTCCTGCAGCCTCAGTTTCTCCTTTTGCCTGTCAGGATCTCAGAGCCCCCTTTGTTAGTGATTCCCACGGCACAAAGGGGAAGAGGAACTCCAAGTGGTAGGTGGAGTCCTTGTTGTTGTTATGTGCCGTCGAGTGGACCGACTCATGGCTACCCCTCCTTGGGTTTCCGAGGCAGTATCACTGTGGAAGTAGATTGCCCAACCTTCCTTACGAGGAGTGGCTGGTGGGTTTGAACCGCCAGCCTTCTGGTGAGCAGTCAAGTGCCTTAGGCACTATGCAGTCCTTGGGTGATACAAATGGTTAGCACACTTAACAGTCAACCCAAAGGTGGGAGGTTTGAGTGTCTCCAGGGGAACCTCAGAAGACCATCCTGGCAGCCGTCAGCCATTCAAGTCCTACTCTGACCCATGTGGGGTCTCAGTGAGTTGGTGTTGACTTGAGGCACCTGGTTGGCAGGTAAGTACAGTTGGCTCAAGTTTGCAGGAAGCCTGAGGTCTGCCCGTTGACCCCACCCATTTATCTGACCACCTTTGGGATACATGGCCCCTCAGCTTCCAACTCTAGGAGATGGTGCTGCCCCTCGGTTCCTGCCAGGACCCTGACATTCCAATCTCTCTCCCATCTTTCTTCTCTCCTGACTTGTGTCATTATCTTCACTCTTTAGATAATAGAAACTGAGGTTCAGAGATCAAGAGACAGGCTCACTGTCCCCAGTGAGACACTAGCAGAGCGAAACCTCTTGCCCCCCTAGTTCCCAGGGCTCTTACCCTCATGGGTTCTGTGGTAGTTAAGTTGTCTGTCAACTTGGCTGGGCCTGGTTGAGTGGCTGGGCAGCTGGGGGTAGTTATTCCCCATGATGAGACTGGCAATCAACTCTGTGGTGGGATCTACCGCAAGCAGCTGAGTGGCTACTTTAGGGATGTGGTCGGCTTCCTGTCTATAAGCAGCAGCTTTGGGAATGGTCTCTAGCTTTTTGGCACATTTGAAGGCTGCGTGTAGCTGAGTCTTCATTCAGTAGCCTGACATGCTCTGCCAATCTTAGGACTTGCACTCAACTTGAATCAATGCCTGCCGTGTTGTTTGGTAACATTGGGACTGTGCCTTTTTACTTGTCAACCTTGGACTTGTCAGCCTCAGCAGCCAGAAGCTGTGTGAGCAAAGAATAGCCTCCAGCTTCAGTGGGCCGGGAGCAGGAGGCAGAGCTGAAGCCCAAGGTTGAGGGGCTTTCAGCTAGCCCCTAGAGCCTGGCACTTTGAACTCAGACTTAAAGACTCCGAACTAGAAGAGAACAAACTGCTGTTGGTTAAAGCCATCCCGTTTGTGGTCTATTCCTGTCAGAGTGGCACTAGGAGACCAGAACAGGGTGCCTGCCTTGGCATCCCCAGTGCCTCTGTTCCCAGGCCCTTTCTGCTTGCTGCCTTCATGCTACCTCCGAGGTTGTCCTCCTGGTTCTATAGCAGGCTGTAGGTTCCTGCCAGGACCCTAACATTCCAATCTCTCTCCCATCTTTCTTCTCTCCTGACTTGTGTCATTATCTTCACTCTTTAGATAATAGAAACTGAGGCCTTGTCCTGCCCAGGGCACACTCCAGGTTGCTGTTCTTCCTCATGGGCTGGCGGTGACAGCAAGTCTCAGGTCTTCTCTGAGCCTCGGTTTTCTCTTGAAGAAAGATCACATAGATGCCTTTCTTTCTTACCCACCTGCTCCCTGTCAGAGAAAAGTCACGACTGGGCCCCGAAGCTGAGGTCACCTCTGGACAGGCCTCTGAGCCTCCTGGGCACTGGAGGGCCCAGGGTGGGAGACAGGCAGGACCCCTGGCCCCAGCCCCACTGACTGGATCATGTCCCAAGCCCCACTGGGTTTCAGTTGGGAGCTACTAGCCATCACTCGTAGAAAGCCCAGGCTTTCCCCCGCTGGCACTCCCAGCCCCACCTGTCTTGAGCTCTATAAAGCCGAGATGAGGTCAGCAGCCCCGGGGCCCTCATCCACCCCTGCCTGCCCACCTTGGCTCAGACTGGAGCCCAGGGCGCCCCACCCTAGTGGGAGCCGTCAGGAGCTGTCAGGATGCTTTCAAGTGCAGCCTTGCAGGCCCAGCCACTCTGGGTGGGGGCTGCCCGTTTGCTCTCAGCCTTGGGTACACACAGCTCCCTTCATCTGGGCTGAAACCAGGCTGCAGAGTCCAACCCTGCTGTTCCAGCCGGAAGAGGCCGTGCAGCCGACGGGCCCCAGGCCATACGCAGCCCCAGTGGGTCACGTCTCCAGCTCTCATACCGTCCAATCAGTTACAAGGGTGTGGACATGGATGGCTCTGGGCACCACAGGGCTGGGTGAGATAGGGGTGAAGGATAAGAAACTGAGTTTTGGGGTCAGGACTGGGCTGGAATCTGGGCTCTGGGGATCTCCTGGGAGCCCACACCTCCCCATCTGCAAAATGGGGTGAACAGTGGGCCCACCTCACAGGGTTGTGGTGAGTCTCAGGTGCCATGATGTGTGAAGGGCGTGGTACTCAGTGACTGCTCACTGTCATTAAAGAAAGAGGGCCTTTAATTTTGGATATGGTGACTAAGACTAAGTTATATGTGCTTTACAGCTTCAAAGTATCTTAGCAGAGTTCCATTTTTCAGATGAGAAAACTGAGGGTCACAATTACCCCAAGGTAATAAAGCTGGTATGGGTGGGGCTGGATTAGAACTCAGGCCTTTTGATTCTGCAGTCATTAGGCTGGACTTCTCAGGCAATCCAGGGAAGACTGTGGGGTGTGGGCTCCTGGGGTGCACAGGGAGGTGTGCAGCCACGGGTTTCCTGGTGGGCCAGGCTCTCTGGGGTCCCTTGCAGCCCTGACCAGGCACTCACTCTTCCTTCAGGAAGTTACACCCCACACCTGGCACAGGGCTTGGTTAGCAGAGCAAGGGCTGGAAATCCACCCCTAGTTGTCTACCAGCCCAGTTGTTCTTTGACAGTCCAAGACCTGGGCACTGAGCTGCCTGTGTGATCAAATGTCTAGTGACCCAGGGGCCAGCTCCACCCCCAGATGTCTTCCAGAAGCTACAGGGCAGGTCGTACCCCACCCCCTCCACTGCCTCCTGACGGTCTGGGGATTGGAGAGGACCCCGCTGCTCCTCCCAAGCCTCAAAGTCTCCAGAGCAGCCCCCCTTGCACTATGTCAGAGGCCATGGCCATATTAGTCATGCCTTTGGCAGCCTTTGTGGCTGTGGGAGCTAGCCCCTCCCTCTTTGGCACAGCCTCAGAGAAGGCTCCAGAACCTTGAGCCTACCAGCACTCTCTGGAGAGGTCTGACAGCTGATGACTGCACCAGCCACAGGACCTGTCAGCAACTGAAAATGTGGGCAGCCGTAATCAGAGTGCATGGGGGTGGCAGGTACGGGGTCTTTCTGGAAGCTTCTAGACACTGCCATCCAAACGCTCATCCCTGGCCTGCCCCACCCCCTAGGCCTCTGGGGTCATCTTTCCCTCAGCACTGCTAACAGGGGACTAGGAGGGGCCAGGTGGGAGGGCTGGGACTCATTCCCCACCCCTCCCCTGCTGTGGCACAAAAAAAAAAAACAAAAACAGAATGGAATCTAGCCTGGGAGTCTGGGGACCTAGGGTGTCTTTGCCTGTCCTTGGCCAGGGGCCAGCAGCCGTGACTCATTTTCTTCATCTGTACAATGAGACCATTAGACTGGATGTTCTGTCAGTCTCCTTCCTTCCAGGGCCTGGAAGCAGCACTGTGTCCTCCTCCGGGACCTCACTACCCCAGCCCCCTGCACACCCACTGCTCCACAGTCGAAATGCTGCAGGGGAGAGTCTATGTGGTAAGTGGAGGTAGGGACTGAGAGGTGAGGAAGGTGAGACACTCACCACCGAGGCCTGAGATGTGGACTTCCTCTCCCTGTTGGCTAGCTGAGCCTAGCAGGACTTGGGGCTACTGTCCCTTTAAATGAAAATAAGGTAAATAAAAGGGGTGGGTTGCAGGAGTGCCCCCTAAACCCAAAGGAGAAAGGTGGTTTTGGGCTTGCAGTAGAAGGGAGAGAAGCCTATAAAGTGAGCAGGTGGCCATGGAAATGGGAGGCCCTGAGACAGGGGCACCCCCATGCTTTGGGGGGTCTCCTGAGAGCCATCTCAGGTGGAGGGGCCTGGAGAAGGGCTGGTTCCTGATACTCCCTTAGCTGGGAGAGAGACAGGCTGGAGGCCAGGGGGCTTCTGAGAGTATCCCTGAGAGGGAAAGGGAAGGGGGGTGCGGGCTCAGAGCTGGGATCCCCCCAATTAGGCACAGGCACTCGTGCCTTAAAAAGGAGGATGGCGGGACTTGGTCTCACGTGTCGTCTCTGGAGGTGTTATCAGAAAGGACCAGTCCCTGGAGAAGGACATCACGCTTGGTAAAGAAGAGGCTCAGAACAAAAGAGGAAGACCCTCAGCAAGGGAGAGTGACACGGTGGCTGCCACATGGGCTCCAGCACAGCAAGGACTGTGAGGATGTGCAGGACCCAGCAGTGTTTCCTTCTGCTGTACGTCACAGCCGACTTGACAGCACCTAAGGCAACGCGCCATGATTCCCTGGGCCTGGGGTTGCAGGAAAACGGTTAGAAGAAATGGCAACACAGTGCCAGGAAACAGGAAAGCGCTGTCCCACCTCCCAGAGGCTGGGTGGATACGGAGGGGAAGGATGCAGGGGTCCTCACTGGCCCCCATCTGGGGAGACAGACAGACCAGGAGAGGACCTAGTACACCCCAAAACCACAGGGTATGTTCTGGCTCAGGTCACATCCCAGAGAAGGTGCACTTCTCCCCACCTCCACCTGTTCTCTTCCCTCCCTCTTCCACTGAAGCCAGAAGGGAGTTTCTCGTTTGGTTGCCTGCCTGGCAATATTTTTCCCTGTTTTCAGCTTTCCCAAGGTAGGGAGCAGGGCAGTTCAGGCTAAGCCCCTGGTCTGTGGGAGGGACAGGAGCCTTGCACCTTGGGGGTGGGGAGGAGGGTGCCTGAGGACAAGGATCCCAGCCTCGCAGACTGGGCTGGGATCCTCCCCTAGGATTCTCTCCTCAGTCTGGGTCTTGCCAGCCCTTTCTGGCAAGCTACCAAAGGCATCTTTTCCCTCTCTGTCTCCCTCTAGGGTTCTCCTGCTGCCACTGCGCCTCCCCTTGGTCCCAGCCCTGCCCCCAGGATTCTGAAACTGCTCCTTCCTGAGCTCCCCTCCCCTTCTTGCCTTTACTCCTTCAGTGGTCATTTTAAGGATGCCTATTTTGGAGATGCAGAGAGCAAGAAGATACGGCCTGGTCATCTGGTCTCTAGCTGACAGAGTTGCGGGGAGACAGCATTCCAACAAATGTCTAATTGGGCCAAAAGCGGGGGGAGGAGAAGCTGGACTATCTGGGTGGCCTGGCTGTGGGTGGGTCAGGGTAGGCAGTCAGCTGGACAATGAGGGAATGGAGTAAGGCGATGGAGCCAGGAGCAGGCATCGCTCAGGCCCCGGACTGGCTCAGTGTGGGACAAGTTGAATTGTTATGACAACTTTTGGATGTGTTCCATGCCCTCCACCCCGAGAAGGTGGCATCTCCAGGGTGGGACCAAGCCTGCTTTTCCTGTTGCTCTAATCCCTCCCCGATGCCTGGGTGTTGCTGACCTCGGTTAACGAATAAAGGGTTAACGAGATCCCCAGGACTGCTTGAGCAGCTTCAGATCAGAAACAGGACCAGTGGCCAAAGGCCACCTCCTCAGCCCTTCCAGTTTGAGGGAAGAGAAGTTGGAGAGGGGGTTTTGTGCTGACACAGCCCCAGGCGTCAGGAACCTGGATCCCTGCTCTCCCTGAATAGGACCAAGTACATACCTGTGTCATGGCTCATGCAGAGACCAGAGCCTTGGCCCCATCAGTCACACCTTCAGCAGAGGTGGGCCAGGGCTCGAAACCTGGGGTTCCCTAAAGGGGTCTGACATCACAGGCCAAGTGGTGGGCACATGGGCATTTTTCTGAGGAAGGGGCTCTGGCCTTCACCAGATGCTCAGAAGACACTTGACCCAAAGCAAGGTTCGAACCCACCACTCCAAGCCATCCGTCCCATCCCCACCCTGGTGGGTGCCTAGCTAGGAGCAAACACAGTGTTGCCCTTAAATGGCTGTTTACTGAATACACTGTATGACGTCACTGTACTGAGCACTGTCAAGATAATGTTGCAGTTCAATGTTGTCTCAACCTGTTGGGAACCATCCGGCCAGGATGCACCCAAGCGCTGGGTTCTCATCACTCTGAACTCCACCTGTCATGAGGATCCTTACAGTGGTGCAGCGAGGCTGGGGGTGTGGGGGTCAGGCAGGGCTGGGATGTTCAGAGCCCACAGGGCCTCCAGGCTGAGACACAAAGTCTCCATTTTCCTTCCCGCCTTTACTGCAGGAAGCCTTTACAGACTCATGCTTGAAGGCAGGAGGATGGACATGCTGGGCCCTGCGTCCTTGGAGCTAGTCCTCCTCTCAGGGGTCCTGAGGGGTCCGAGTGTCTCATTCTTCAGAACAAAGGCTCTCAGACTGCCCTCCCACAATCCCCGGGGCTTCCCCCGCCCCGCAGCCACAGAGGCTTGCTCTTACCACCTGCTATCCGGGCACTGAGTGTTTTATTAGAGTCCCACTTTTATCCGCACCGCGGAAAAGGAGGGAGAGGGAACAAGAACAGAACCCGGATGAGACCCCAGCCCCTCCCCCCACCGGAGCCCAGGGCATCTGCCCCATTGGGCCAAGGAAGACTTTGTGAGATCCCTGAGGGCGCCAGGAGGAGGGGGCAGGGGGCAGCAGAAGAGGATTGGGGGCCACTGCTTCCCAGCTGATGCCCAGGGTCAGGGCCTCAGTCCAGATCTGACCCCTCCTTCAAGGGGCTATACCTTTTTTTGGGAGCCTTGGCGGACCACCTCCCCATCAAACTCTGAGGAGGCGGCACTCCTTGGGCAAACTCTGAGGCACCCATTTTCATTGCCTGTGACCTCACGTGGCCCATGTCCCAGACATGCTGCCCTCCTCTCGGGTGAAGCGGGGGCGACACTGGCTTGCCTCCCTCACCTCCCCCCTCCCCTTGGCCTGCTTGGTCATCACACTGCATGGCTTCTCCCGCAGCCTCTCTATGGTTCCTCCTCCGGCTGCCTCTTCCCTCTTCCACCTTCTGACCCCGAATCCCTTTGGACTTCGAGGTCAAGTGCAGTTGTGGTCTGTATCCTCCGCCCCTTGTCATGCAGAATGCTTGGATGGTATGGCCTTGGCCCAGGACCTGGGCTGAGAGCTGGAGACCCAGTTCAGCCTGGGGAAGTAGGACCAAACTGAGCACTCCGTCCCTCGGGCTGGGTCTTAGGGTCCTACCTAGTCCGGTCACTCCTTGGCTGGTGGGGGGACAGGGGTATGGAGAGGCTGCAGGGCCAGCCTCCAGCCCTCAGTCTGGCACGGGCCCCCTGCAGCCAGCTCCAGATGGAGCAACTCTCCAGCCCGGATGGTGGCACATCAGGGGACAGGCCACGCCGCCTGGGCACCACCATCGGGTCTCTCAGTGACCCAGAGGCGCTGAGGGTCCTGTAGGGTGGGAGGGGGGGCTCCCCGGCCTGTGCCTCCAGAGGTGGTCCTCAGTGCACTGAGCTGAGAGGAAGTGACACAGCAGACCTTGGGTGAGCGTGCCATTCACAACGCCCAGCCTGGTGAGCTGGCGTCAAGCAGGAAGAGGGGCAGGCCGATCCCTGTGTTGTGTGTTCGCAACGGCTCTTTGTTCCCTGGACCCAGTGGGTGGGCAGGAGGTGGGGGTGGGCTCCCTCTAGAAGCACCAGGATCCGGCTCGTTCATGTCGCAGGGCAGCTACCCTCAAGGCCTTCCTTGGTCCCATCTGCCCACGTGCTGGCCCCGGGCCCTCTTTATAGCAGTGGAGGTGGAGCCTCCCTCCAGGGCCTTGGGGCCTAGCCCCTTGCCTGGCCCTGGGACAGGGGCCACCAAGCCGGGTCTGTCTGGGCTCAGAAGCCCCCACTCTCCGAGCTGCTGTGGCTGTGGTAGCTGGGACTGGGGGTCCGGGAGGGGCTGCGCGTGCGGCTGTGGGTCCCGCGGCTCCGGCTGCTGTAGCTTCTGTCACTGTGGCTCCTGCTGGAATAGTCGCTGCTCAAGCAGCTGGAGGAGGAGGAGGGGCTGGGCCGGTAGTAGGGGATGGGACGCTTGCGGGCGCTGCCAGGAAGGAAAAGCAGTTTTACAGGGCACGCAGGGCTCCGAGCTCTGCCCATCTTGAGGCCCAAACAGGCCTGGAGCCCCATCCCAGCAGCGGCCAGGGTTCCCCTGCCTCAGTTTCCTCCGAACCCTGGACTTAGTGAGCCCCTTAACAGGATGCAACAGTTAGCAGTCACTTGCCAAATCCATGGTGATCATTTCAAGTTTTCTGCAGGGAAAAGGGACCAAGTGTGTGCCTGGGCCAGCAAGGTACTTAAGAAACGCTTGCTGAAGGAATGAAGCCATTGAACATGGACAACTCAGATCAGACAAGCAAAGTAGTGGTTTCCTGACACGGAAGTGTTTGAAACTACAGCCCAGCCCTGCTTGCGCGGTTGGGCAAATTTCTCTGTTTCCCATGGAATCAAGGCTTTTGGGTTTCCAAGGTTATGTGAAGGGAACAAGGAGGAGACACTTGGCCTCTGCTGCCCAAGCCCCAACCCAGCTGGCCCTCACTTCTCACTCAGCTACCTCCCCGCAGCCCGGAGTTAGTTTGAAGCCAGGAGGCTGTGACAGAGAAAAGGAAGACTGTTAAGGGGCCGCCATGCCCCATTGCACGGTGGAGTTAATTCTGAGGGAGAAAAGAGGCAAAGGTTAGTGGGGGGAGGAGGCGGCAGCCTGGGAGGGGCTCAGGTGGGTGCCAGGTGGAAGGTGTGCGGTGTGGCCATCTTAGGACCTTCAGATTAGGGGGCAGGGGGTGTGACCTGTCTGAGAGAGGGATGGAAGGCCATACCCTCTCCTTTGGTAATCTCTGTCACGAAGGACTAAGAGGGAGTTCGGAGAGCGTCAGGGATGCCAGCTGTGGTAAGTGAGGCCCAGAGAGGCTGCCCAGCACGGCTGTGGCAGAGCCAGGCTACAAACTGTTCCCTGGGACCCTCGACCCCCTGCCAGGAGTCTAGGGCTTCAAACCATCATCTCACCTGCAGACCCAGTCCCAAGCCCCTCCCGATCTGGCAGAGAAGACCTGGGCGTGGCTTCTGCCACACCAGCCACACCCTGGGCACAGCCCCACTCAACTGTGTGGGAAAAGGGGGAGGGATGATTTGTCTGACAGCTGCCCTAGAGACCAGACCACTGTGCCCCCTCCTCCAGAGTTCCCTCCGGGGCTGGGAAGAGAACAGTGAGGTTAGTGAGAAAAGAAGAGGCAGACAGACAGACGGCTGAACGGAGCCAGGTCAGCTCACATGGGCATCTCCGGGAGACCTGTGGAGAGGGGGTCCACCGGGCCCCCAGGCTGGCCACAGGCCACTCAGCAAGCAGGACCTTGAGTTGAAGGGAAAAAGGAGACATCATTGTGGGGAGCTGGAGGGGGAAGGGCTTAAGGGGGGATGGCGGGAACCTTCCAGAGCTCAACTCCAGTCTGCCTGCGTCCACCCAGCCTCAAACACAAGGACAGCCTTTTCCCATCTAGAAGCCTTCAGGCCCTCACTGGGGACCCCTCCCTTCATGAGGTTCCCCCACCTCGTCTTTCTGGGTGCCCTCCAACTTTGGAGTCCCCTACGCCCTCGCATGACACCTCCGGGTCTTAGTGCCTCGTCAGTGAACCCCCAAGCTAACCTGGGCTCTTCTCCCTTCTCCGAAACCCACCTCCTCTCCTTGACCCTCACTCCCCGCCATTCACCGAGGCCTCCTCTCGGTCCTTCTAGGAGGTCCTGGAGGCGAAACCCTCCTATCCATGCCCCCTACACTGGTGGCATAGTGCCTAAGGCATCTGACTTCTAACCAGAAGGTTGGCGGTTCAAAGCCACCAGCCTCTCTGTGGAAGGAAGGTGGGGCAATCTACTTCCGTAAAGATTTACCGCCTGGGAAACCCAATGGCGGCCGCTATGAGTCGGGATCGACTGATGGCAGTGGGTTTGGTTTCCTGGTGCACACACGCACTCACACCGCCTAGGTCCCTGGGTTCCGACCCAGGTCTCGCCCTGGCCCCCGCCGAGCGCCCCGTACCTGGTGATGCGCCGCGGCTCCATGAAACTGGGCGAGTCCCGGCGCCGTTTGCGGATGGGGGAGTAGCTGCGGGAGCGGCGCCGGGCGCGGGCGGCCTCGGCCTCGGCGTGCCTGGCGCGGCCCTCGGCGTCCTTGTCCCTGCGGGCCGGCGGAGGTGAGCGCGCGCCCGGCCGAGGGCACCCCGTTCGCCCCCCGGCCTAGGCGAGGACCAAGACCCGCGGGGGCACTCACCGGCCCAGAGCCTTCTTGGACGACGGCGAGCGGCTGGCGCTGCGGGCCCGCTTCTCCGCGGAGCGCGAGCGGGACTTGGAGGGCGAGCGGCTGGAGCTCCACGAGCGGGGGTGGGCGTCGGGGCTGCGCGACGAGCTCTTGCCCTCG